AATTTCCGTCGAATAAGAGACAGCTAATTTTTTTTTTCAGTGAATAATGGAAAAGGAAAACTTAGTGAAGAAATGATATGAATAAGAAAAATATGATGAATGAGTAAGTATCGCAATGAACGAGTGAAAAGTGATACCTAAACACGGCAGACGAACTGAGCAAAGATATATATTATGTCACTTTAGCAAGACGTGTCAAAAAAAAAAAATAAACAGGAAAAGCGAAACAGTGCAACCAAAACAGAGATAAAAATAATTTGCTGTAAGAATATCGACAAAAGCCTGAAGAGTTGCGACATCGCTACACACAGAAGGCTGAAGTACGTAACAGCGACTTCGCTACACACAACGAGAGGACTCTAGACCCCGAAGGCAAGGCGTTGTTGAAGTCAGTGGTCATGGAAGGTGGCTCAGAGAGATGTTGGTCCATGGGCCCAGCGAAGTCGTGTTCTCACCCAGTAAGGTCGTGGACGTACCCTACGAGAGCGTGGGCGTCCTCTGTGAGAGTGTGGGCGTACCTCCTTCTGGCGGGTTGTGTGTGGGCGGCGGCAGTGGCAGAGGATGCTCCCAGAGAGTCGGAGGTGAGTGACTCTGTGATTTATGCTTTAACCTCTGTATCATGCTCTTTGTTGTATAGTCATTCATACACATTATATGTAGAGCATTATGTTGTATGTTACACCTGTTTTAAGCTTTGGACATAGTACTACGCACACATGCACTCATATAAGCACTCACATACGTACACATACACACAGTACACAGATTAATGCATGTTGTTTATCTTACATGTTTAATTAAAAAAATTCCCTGCAAACAAATCCAAGTGACTCATAAGTTTACAGCCATCACGTGAATTATGTTTAGAAATAACAATCACGTGACACTTCCTATTTACAGACTATTACCCCGTGATTCTCGTGTTTACAAGCAATAACCAAAGGGGCTCTCACTTATTATAGCCGCCACGAGACACCTGTGTTTACATTCCCACGTCGACTTCAACACTTTCCTCGTGACTTTCAACCTGGATAAACAAGGCAGCGTGACCTTGCCCAAGTCAAAAACTTATTTTACTACAAGCTTGCCCACCGGAGCCTGCCAGCTCAAACGCTTTCACCACCTGAGACATTATTAAAAAAGTTTCCCCATAAATTTTGCTACCTAAAAGTTTGGCGATGGAGACTATGTGTAACTGATTTGGCGTCTGTAAGAGAAACGAAATATTTGGCAAGAAAGAGAGAGAGAGAGAGAGAGAGAGAGAGAGAGAGAGAGAGAGAGAGAGAGAGAGAGAGAGAAAGAGAGAGAGAGAGAGAGAGAGAGAGAGAGATCACTAAACTTAGTCAAGCCTCTTTAATATAAAGTAATTAATTCTTTTTAGTGAATCAGTAACTATGTAAATCAGGTTTGAAGAACTGACATTTACATTATTATTATTATAATCAAAAAGAAGCGCTAAGCCACAAGGGCTATACAGCACTGACATTTACAAATAATGTATATTTTACAATAAAGTGGCAAGTGTTTCAGCTTCAAGAGAAAAACAAATATATATTTTTTCGACATTTCTGCCACAGTATTTTAGAGATTTTAGGAATTAAAGAATTCTTGTCTGGTGGTGAAAAGGTCAGGCGCAGCATTATGACACTCGTGTCATCGAAAGGCTGTAAATTCCATTAAAATATCCACGGTGGGGCCTTTTCGTGTTTTTGATAAAGCATCACTGAGGGTCATATAAGGCCCCAATGTGGATGAAATAAAGCCAGGATGTTGGAGATAAAACCCCTGACTTTGGGCGAGACAAAACCGTAGGTGAAACGTCGTTGATTAAACATTTTCTCCGCAGTACCTCTTCTTAGATTACAATATTGTCTGCTGAATAGATTTTTCACTCATTTTCCCTTTCAGAACTAGTCTACCCGCATTGTAGTTCCACCCAGGTGCCGCCCAGGTAACAACCTGGTACCTTTCTTGTAGCAAAAAGTCATTAATACCAGTCCTACCACGAAGCTGTGTACATCTTTTAGCACATACCTGCCTAAAATAATTTTAGTTTGTCCTTGTTTTAGAGATTTAAAGTGTCCGTGACAATCATGACTGAGTGCAGTTAATAGAGGTATAGTGAATAATTTCTTTATTAACCACAATGTTTCGTTCACACTGTGTAGACGAAATATTGTGATATCCGTTGTGTCTAGTTGTTATTTAGTTCACCTTGATACAAGCCATTATAGTTGTACGTTACTGCTATTTGTATCGTTCTGCAGCACGCGCGCGCGCACACACACATACACACACACACATACACACACACACACACACACACACACACATACACACACAGAGGAAAGTTTTGTTCCCAAGGGAAACAGAAATAATAGGAAGACCAAAACGAGTCCTTGGTTTACCCGAAGGTGTAGGGAGGCAAAAACTAAGTGCAACAGAGAATGGAAAAGGTACAGGAGGCATAGGACCCAGGAAAACAAGGAGATTAGTAGAAGAGCCAGAAACGAGTATGCGCAGATAAGGAGGGAGGCCCAGCGACAGTATGAAAACGACATAGCATCGAAAGTCAAATCTGACCCGAAACTGCTGTATAGCCACATTAGGAGGAAGACAACAGTCAAGGACCAGGTGATAAGGCTGAGGAAAGAAGGTGGAGAACTCACAAGAAACGATCAAGAGGTATGTGAGGAGCTCAACATGAGATTTAAGGAAGTATTTACAGTAGAGACAGGAAGGACTCTGGGAGGACAGACCAGATGGGGACACCAGCAAGGAATACACCAACAAGTGTTGGACGACATACATACAGATGAGGAGGAGGTGAAGAAACTGCTAAGGGACATCGATACCTCAAAGGCAATGGGACCGGACAACATCTCTCCGTGGGTCCTTAGAGAGGGAGCAGATATGTTGTGCGTGCCACTTACCACAATCTTCAACACATCCCTGGAAACTGGGCAACTACCTGAGGTATGGAAGACGGCAAATGTAGTTCCCATTTTCAAAAAAGGAGACAGAAAAGAGGCACTAAACTATAGACCTGTGTCATTGACGTGTATAGTATGCAAAATTATGGAGAAGATTATCAGGAGGAGAGTGGTGGAGCACCTGGAACGGAACAGGAGTATAAATGCCAACCAGCACGGATTCATGGAAGGCAAATCCTGTGTCACAAACCTTCTGGAGTTTTATGATAAAATAACAGAAGTAAGACAAGAGAGAGAGGGGTGGGTTGATTGCATCTTCTTGGACTGCAAGAAGGCCTTTGACACAGTTCCTCACAAGAGATTAGTGCAGAAGCTAGAGCATCAGGCGCATATAACAGGAAGGGCACTGCAATGGATCAGAGAATACCTGACAGGGAGGCAACAACGAGTCATGGTACGTAATGATGTATCACAGTGGGCACCTGTGACGAGCGGGGTCCCACAGGGGTCGGTCCTAGGACCAGTGCTATTTTTGGTATATGTGAACGACATGACGGAAGGGTTAGACTCAGAAGTGTCCCTGTTTGCAGATGATGTGAAGTTAATGAGGAGAATTAAATCTGATGAGGACCAGGCAGGACTTCAAAGAGACCTGGACAGACTGGACACCTGGTCCAGCAAATGGCTTCTCGAATTTAATCCTGTCAAATGCAAAGTCATGAAGATAGGGGAAGGGCACAGAAGACCACAGACAGAGTATAGGCTAGGTGGCCAAAGACTGCAAACCTCACTCAAGGAGAAAGATCTTGGGGTGAGTATAACACCGAGCATGTCTCCGGAAGCACACATCAATCAGATAACTGCTGCAGCATATGGGCGCCTGGCAAACCTGAGAACAGCATTCCGATACCTTAGTAAGGAATCATTCAAGACACTGTACACCGTGTATGTCAGGCCCATACTGGAGTATGCAGCACCTGTTTGGAACCCGCACTTGATAAAGCACGTCAAGAAACTAGAGAAAGTACAAAGGTTTGCGACAAGGTTAGTTTCAGAGCTAAGGGGAATGTCCTATGAAGAAAGATTAAGGGAAATCGGCCTGACGACACTGGAGGACAGGAGGGTCAGGGGAGACATGATAACGACATATAAAATACTGCGTGGAATAGACAAGGTGGACAAAGACAGGATGTTCCAGGGAGGGGACACAGAAACAAGAGGCCACAATTGGAAGTTGAAGACACAAATGAGTCAGAGAGATAGTAGGAAGTATTTCTTCAGTCATAGAGTTGTAAGGCAGTGGAATAGCCTAGAAAATGACGTAGTGGAGGCAGGAACCATACACAGTTTTAAGACGAGGTTTGATAAAGCTCATGGAGCGGGGAGAGAGAGGGCCTAGTAGCAACCGGTGAAGAGGCGGGGCCAGGAGCTAGGACTCGACCCCTGCAACCACAAATAGGTGAGTACAAATAGGTGAGTACACACACACACACACATACACACACACACACACACACACATTCGAAAATAACACAAGAACAAGTGAAGGCAATCATTGCAACACTAAAATTTATATTATTGACTATTATTATTTCTATTATTATAAGAAACAATAAACCCTCGTGGGTCATTCAAATCAGTGAGCGATTGGAGAATCGATCCTCCGTCCGCTCAGAAACCCTCCAGAAATACCTTCCTAGTAACTATACCAGTATTACCCTCTCCTCCTAGTAACACGGAAATACCCCCTAGTAACCACACCAATATTCCCTTCCTCCCAGCAACATAAAACAGAAATTTACATACACAAAGAACCATACATACACATAAAGATGAATGCGTACACACAGACATATACACATAGAGACTTACATGCATGAATACAATCACGGAGGGATTTACGCACACAGAGACATACACACAAAGACTTACACACACAGATTTACACGGTAAACACATAATTATATTCACACGGCGACTGCACAACAATGAGTTTAGATTATTTGGATACAATTAGACAATTTTAGATGATTACGATTGTCTTACAAAGTATTATATGTGTTGGAAGAGCACTCAGCTCACGCGCTGAGTGTCCGTGGTTCGATCTCTGGTACGTGTGAAACCTTTGGGTGTATTTCCTTAAGACACCTGCTGTCCCTCTTCACCTAGCAGTAAGTAGGTACCTGGGTGTTAGCCGACTGTTGTGGGTCTCATCCTGGGGGACAAAATTAACCTAAGTTGCACGAAATGCTCAGTATAATAAAAGGCTTTCTATATAGTATGTCAATGTTGTCAGCTATGGTCTATAGAAGTTGTATCATGTACTTGTAGAAATAATTATTATTACGATTATTATTATTATTATTATTATTATTATTATTATTATTATTATTATTATTATTATATTATTATTATTATTATTATCAGGGACTGACCCCCCAGTAAATAAGCTCCCGGTCTCTACCCTCAGTTGAAGAAGCGACAGATCTTCCGTGAAGCTGTGTTGCCAGCTCTGGGGGGCGTGATCCCCCAGTCAGCATTCACTAAGCAACGCCTCCACCACAACGCCCACGACCAGCTGGGGATCGAAGCCCCAGACGGTATAATCTTCATCACCAGGTGGGTCCTGGAGGGTTATCATCTGGGTCCTAGAGGTACTGAGGTCCCAGATGGCACAGCTTTGGTGTGTGTGTGTGAGTGTGTGTGTGTGTGTGTGTGTGTGTGTGTGTGTGTATTCACCTATTTATGGTTGCAGGGGTCGAATGTGTGTGTGTGCTTGCGCACGCGCATATGCCTGCAGGTCGACTCATTCTCGCTCGACCATATACATATAAAACGTAATAACTAAGAATCACACATAACAATACAACCAACAGAAAATATATATACGTCCTCTACAGCAGAACGTTTATTCACAACGAATTTTCAACGATGTTCGTATCGGGAAGAAGACCTCTTTCTCCCCTCCTCTATTATAATATTTGTTCAATGGCACAATAATTGGTTCAGGCCGCTATCAGATTGCTGCATAAATTACATTCGTCCTGCCTCTTTCTCCCCGTGCGGGGAAGCCGAGAGGAAGAGCGTTCGTAATCCGTATTGCTTCTTACAACGCTGCCTTCTTTCCACTTATCATTTCTGTTTTTTTTAATTCAGTTTACTCAGCTTGTTGAGGGACTACTGACTGGCTGCAAATTAGGCGTGGCTAGTTTAAATTTGTATTCGGTCTGTTTATGGACTTGGATAACAGGAGGGGAGGCGAGTGTGTGGGTGTGTGTGTGTGTGTGTGTGTGTGTGTGTGTGTGTGTGTGTGTGTGTGTGTGTGTGTGTGTGTGTGTGTGTGTGTGTGTGTGTGTATGTGTGTGTATGTGTGTGTGTGTGTGTGTGTGTGTGTGTGTGTGTGTGTGTGTGTGTATGTGTGTGAGCTATAACGATAACTAGGTGTATGGTGAGAGAAACTCCGATTAGTTATAGGGATGTTGGGAAGCATTTCTTCAGCCTTAGAGTTGTCAGGAAGTGTAACAATCTGGAGAGTAAAGTGGTAGAGGCGGGATCCATACATAGCTTTAAGGAGAGGTACGATAAGGTTCTTGGAGCAGGGAGAGAGAGAGAGAGAGAGAGAGAGAGAGAGAGAGAGAGAGAGAGAGAGAGAGAGAGAGAGAGAGAGAGAGAGAGAGAGAGAGAGAGAGAGAGAGAGGGAGAGAGAGAGAGAAAGAGAGAATGGACCTATTAGCTACCGGCAAAGATGCGAGGCCAGAAGCTGTGACTTGACCCCTGCAACCACATATAGGTGAGTACACACACACACACATACACACACACACACAGACACACACAGACACACACAGACACACACACACACCACACACACACACACACACACACACACACACACACACACACAGACACACACACACACACACACACACACACACACACACACATACACACACACACACACATACACACACACACAGACACACACAGACACACACACACACAGACACACACACACACACACACACACACACACACACACACACACACACACACACTGTATTTCATGAAATGCTGCGAAGAATGAGCAAAAAAAAAAAAATCTGAATAAAAGTCAGAGTTTCAAAAAGACGAATAAATATCAGTGAAAATTCTGACGAGGGAAGAGTAATGGGACACATACGATATAAATTGTGACATTCTTCTCTCCAGTTTTGAGAGATTTTTTTTTACTCTAGTAGTCCGGTTCATTCCTCTGCTTCCCTGGTGACCAGATGATCAGCCAGGTTATTGCTGCATGCGTCCGTAGGCAAACCTAACCATCACAGCCTTGGGTATGAAGCACTTTCCTCAGAAACTTTTCAACTTTTCCTCTTAAAAACTTCCACCTCTGTTAGCAGTAAGTCTTGTACCAGATGGTAGAAAGTTGAAGAGCTGTGACCCCTCAGATGGTGACAGTTTATTGTAGTTGTTCCTAGAGCAACCCAGCCTTTGATAATGTTGCCATTCGTTCCTAATTATTTTAGTGTGTTAATTATGTATCCGGTGATGCATTTTCCAGGTATAGATGATGTGCTATTTATTTCCTCTCCTTTCTAAGGAGTTCACTCTAAGTGCTCTAGTGTGTTCTCAAGGGATTAAGTGTGATACAGTCCTCTTCGGCCTCCTCATCTTCGAAACTTTATCTGTTAACAGTATATAATATACAGTATATAGTATATAATACTACTCAAGTATTATGACCCGTGACATATTAATCTTCTCTGTATCGCTGTGTACAATTGAGGGTGAATGTGTGAGTTATGACTGAGAGGTTTGATGGAATCAAGCCATTAGTGCAATTCATTCCAGAAGCCTGTCATCCCACCTCTAGGTAACTGAATTCTTTCATCTCGTTCACACAGGGCGGTGTAGCAAGCCAGTTGTAGGTAGTAGTATCACTGGTGAGCGAGAGACTGTTGTCAGGCCCCTCACATTGGTCAGCCCCCACATCGTACAAGAAATGCGCATTTAATGGTACTGCTAATGATTACTTTTGTTGGGGAGGGGGGGGGGGTCTACATAGCCTCAGCAAGATCCCTGAGATACTTGTATGAGTCGCTATTTGCAGCTTCCTTGTATCAGTGAGGAATTCGGTTACTGTCGTGAAAAATCCCCTCTCCCCCTCCTACTGGGGGTCTAATGGTTCCGTAAATCAGCAGAATCCTGATTTCCCACAATCGTTCCAATTATAGTATATGTAGTTCCGAAGCAGGTACATACACTATAATTGGAACAATACAGAGAAGACTTGCATGGCGTACCCAACATTTGTGGATTTCTGTATTTTCGAGTTTGGAAGCTTAAACCTACTTTTAAGGGAGGTCTGAAGACAGACTTATTTATTTTTTTACATTATTTAAATTGCTTAACATGGCAATGAACAACGGAGGCTGAACTCTCCGTTTGCTACCGCAAGACAGATGCTCCACCATTCAGTATACAATTATCTCATGAACAGAAAACAGACTCACCGAAAAAGAATCATCATTAGCGTAACTTCTGTCATTAGAAAAGTTCCCATAATCTACCTTTTCAGTTTTACAGTCCATGGCTACATTGACTTTCTTGCGGTTTCTAAAGATTAAGTAATCTGGAGGTATTATTACTACATCATTTATCGATGACCTCAGTTCTAGCATGGGAGCTGACGTCGTTAAAGAAGCTACTCTCATTTTGAGTTCTTTCTTTAACGCAGCACCGTTGAACCTCGTACTGTTTTCTCGTTGCACAGCGAAAGATTTCCTTGATACATGTATTTGCCTGCAGCATTTGAGTGTCTTATTCAGAGTTAACTTTCATTACTTGTCAGCATATGTAAAAGTGGACACGAAAGTGGGGTTTGAATTCTTGTTAGTGTCTTCTTTGAGAATCAGAAAGAACTGGAGCCACGCTAATCAGTACTACTGCTTCTGTTACTACTACCATGGAAATAAATGGTATAAAATACCTACACAATGGAAATATAAACACATATGCAGTATAATGTGATCCTTTATTGACTGCGTTTCGCCCACACAGTGGGCTTCTTCAAGTCACAAACAGAACAGTTCTGTTTGTGACTTGAAGAAGCCCACTGTGTGGGCGAAACGCACTCAATAAAGGATCACATTATACTGCATATGTGTTTATATTTCTACTACTACCATAATCACCACTACATCTACCAGTATTTCCTTCATTTTTAACCGCTTTCTCTCTGTCTCCCGTCCCCGCCCCCCTTTCGTATATATACTGGCTCTCTTCAGTATATGCTCTGCATAGATTAGGTAAGATTCGCCAGGAAACAAGGCATGTGTTTCTTGACGCGGGTCCCAGTCATAAGATGGTACCGCCACTGGAGCTTTTGGTCATCTGACTGAAGCCTTCTGCTGGCTTACCGGTCCACCTTCATCAAAATTAAGATTATTATGAAATCCCCTGCATAAGCAGGGGTTTGCAACATGCATTAAGAAGTAACTAATAAATTTGTAAGATTTACATACATTGTAAAATAATTTTATTATTGTTGTTATTGTATAGTAAATGTTCCCTTACGATGCAAATTATTGTTGATTGCAGCGTTTGTTTTTTACGCTTGTTTGTGCTTCAGTGAGTTTGTGAAGAGAGTAGCTGACCTCTGATGGACTGCGTGCTGTTTATAGTGGTGGAGTACACACACACACACAACACACACACACACACACACACACACACACACACACACACACACACACACACACACACACACACACTGGGATGATAGGTGTTCGGGCAACACAGCAGAATGCAAAATGAATTAGTTGTGTTCCAGGACCTCTGTTCCACGTTATATCCTGCTCCCATCTATCTGTATTTCTGTCTGTCTCTTCTCTCATTCTCTTTCTCTGACTCTGTGTTTTCATCTCGAAAGTGAGAGAAAGAGAGAGAGAGAGAGAGAGAGAGAGAGAGAGAGAGAGAGAGAGAGAGAGAGAGAGAGAGAGAGAGAGAGAGAGAGAGAGAGAGAGAGAGAGAGAGAGAGAAATTAGAAATAGAGACAGAAACCCGAATATGTAATTGCTTTACAGACCTTTAAAATCCCCTATCAGCTTCTGCTGGAACGACATATTAAGTCCGACTGTTATAATTACGTTGGACTGTGAAGCCCAAGTCAAAGACCGACCAGCTCACTGCACCCCAGTGCACGCGCAACGGAAATAACGCAGGGCGTTGTAAAACTCCTATACAACGAAATGTAAAGAGAAAAGCATAAAGGGGTCCAAGACTGGTGAGAAGGCTCGATCTTCAGTCGGTTAATTGCGGCCCTGATTCTGATCAGTCAGGTTGTTAGTGATCGCGTAATGACCGGTAAGTAGTTTATTGAGCAAGGGTGTTGTCAGGTGCCAGCACTAGATAGCAGCACCAGCTGGCAGCTCACACAAGGAAGCGCTTAACCCGCATGAATCATATCGTTTGTACAAAGGTCATTATGATTGCGTTGTACCTGTATACCATAATTGTACAGGTGAAGATAGTTAAATCAGCGTATATCTACTAAGAAATATACACTTCTTGGCGTATATACTCTGTGAGGGTATATTGGGCAGACGAGTTACATGTACTCA